AGGGTGGTGCCCTTCAATGTCTTCACAGATATCCTCATACCTCCCAAGAGCCCCAGAGAGAGGTCAACAGTACTCCCACTATGAAGACCACAATCCCTCAGCCTCTTCTCATCTCTCAGCACCCTCCCGCCTGACAACACCTTCACCTGGTCTGGTGGGATCCCTTCTCTCTCATAGATGACTGACTTCAAGTGCCTCACTGTGTCCCCACCCCTCACTCCTAGTGCTAGGGTCTTCCCTGACAGAGTTCTGAGGAACACCTGGTACTGTGGCTGGCTCCTGAGGACCAGTCTGCACTTGCTGGAGATGAGTGTGTGATAGTATCCCATTCTTCTCCTGTTCTCAAGGCAAACTCCATCTAGACTAAGTTGTTGTAGGCGACGTGGGGTACCTTCTAAAGCCTCAACCATCTTCTTTACTCTCCTGACAGAAGTGGAGGACTCTACCTTCAACTTGATGTATTGTCGGCTCTTACCCTTTCTCACTTTCAAGTTATAGAAGTGGAGTCGTCGAATGACATATATCTCGGCTCCACTTCTGATTTCATAGTTCTCTAAGGAACTGTTGTCATTGATTGGCTTACCAGCAACGATTAGTCGTTGACGTTCTGGGGAAATCTTTGCTACTTTCGCAATTTTACTTTTCACGTCGTGGACAGATTCGCTAGTGGCAACCTCAAGAGGGAAGGCTTGGCCTGTCAGTGTCTTGACAGTGATAGGGACCACCACAAGCAGCCCAGCTCTGACCCATCCTGGATGCCACGCTCCCTCAACAAAACCTGGTTCTCTAGTGCCTGGCCTTGGAAAGACAGTCGCTGATGTTCTGGTGGAATACCCAGTTCAGCCTCCAGCACTGCCTTAACATCCTCCACTCTCTCTCCTTTCCCTGCCGTGACTGAGACCAGCTCACCTGAAGGTTGCCTCACACGCAGCCTTATCTCCTCTGTTGGACTATACAGGTGGAGGGTACTGCCCTCTAGTACGTGGTAGTCTCCAAGCAAGCGTTCGTTCCTCATTTCCCTCTCATTGTAGACCAGGCTCTGGCGGTAGACTGGGAGACCGTCTTTGGCCGCTATTTTGCGCTTGGTGCTCTCGACCGTGTCAGAACTCTCTACTGCGAGTGTAATGGTTTTACCTGACGGAGTCCGCACGAAGATCTGCATCATTTCTGCTTCTCACCTGTATACACGGTAATACACACACGGTAAGCAATCGGCCACACTAAGCGTAGACGCTCTATTTCTTACCTTTTCTTGCGAGATCGAAGGGAAAATTGCCTGTAGATATGATCCACCTACTCATACGAGCCACTCCCACTTATGCAGTTCCAGCGAGCGCGAGTATCGACCGCCTACTTATCCCAGCTAAAAATCGGTTACTTTCACGTCCAGACGACTTCGTCCGTACACTGTACTGCATTCAGTAGGACGGGAGATGGCGTCCACCTCCAGTAGGAGTGATCTGATGGACGAATACCACAGACTGGCGGCTGACACCCTCCTCGGTGCTGAGTAAGTGGCTTCACCCTCAGGTCTCTGGGGAGCCGCGTCTCTGACTGTGCTTTTGTCGTATAATCCACCCTTTACTGGGACAATAACTGGCCAGTAGCTTTTTAAATAATAAATTTGCTGAAGTATGCATGGATATACTAAAGAGCAGAGCTAATATTTTGAAGTGAACCTAGTGTTAAGATAAGCTACATTACGAACACATAAAGAGAGGTGATATCAAATGTTTGAACATAAACAGATCTTGAGAAGTTACTGCTTCATGTGGCAAGTTGTTCCATAGCCTGATTGTATTGGCAAAAAATGAAAATTGAGGGCCATTGAGATGAGCTTGAGGAACCCTGTAAGCGTAGGGGTTGTAGTTTCGACTGTAGGTAGTTGCCATGGTGGGTGGAGGGGACACTGGACAATTGGACTACTAGAGCACTACTTTCAGTCCAGACAGAGTTCTTTACGGAATCCGTAAAGGGACTAAAGTGGATACCGCAAGAGAACTGGTCTGGCCACCTAGATGTATAGTTCTAGTCTGACCCCTAGTCTGCTCCATGTGCGTGAAATAGGCAGGCTACGCCAGGTATTAGCTTATCCAGCAAGACTCCTATGGCATTCTCATCCCTTACTCTCCAAGAAGAAAGAGAGTTGTGACATAATGCTCCAGTGGTTGCTGATATCCTATGGTGTTTATCTCACTGATGTTATTGCTGCAGGTCAAACAAGGTTGCCGTGGCAATATTGCAGGCTGCAGAGGTGAGTGAATCCCATTTGACAGTATTCTAATGACTTTCATCATTCGATAACTCCATATTCATAATTTCCTACTCATGCACTAGTGGCAGAATCAAGTAATTAAGCATTCCACACACACTAAGAAATCTTCACTAGCAGCAAAGTCAATACTGCACTTTTTGGTCACACTTGTGCTGTTGCAGCACAGTAAGCAGTGTGATTTTCCTGCCTTGTAATGCTCACTTTCACTATTTTCCTTTCTTTTCCTTTATCATTGAGTACTGGTATCTATATTAGGGTGGGGAACACACTTGAACTCTTCACTGTGTGATGGGGTTCACTATTATTCCTCTTTCCACTGGTTCTGATAGGGTGGTGAGTTACAGAGACTGGTGAAACTACTGACAGAACACAGGGACCTGGTGGATGCTCGTCATCCTGATTCTGGGGATACCCCTCTCATTAGTGCTGCCAGGAGTGGACACAAAGATGTGAGTCATTGCAGAACATAGAACCTCGCTATTCCAGCCACACTTGAGACCTGAAATAGTGGCTAGGTTATCTCAGGGTAAGGTTATTATGTAAAACATGCATAGGTCGTTCCAAAGCCATCGGTTTGCTTTAACGAGGTGGCTGCATTCCAGAGGCTTATTTAGGTTCCACTGTGAAAATGTAAAAGCTGGGACCTTCTTCTCATTAATCAACCTACGGGGGAAACAACTTTTAAAAGCACGAATGATTGAGGCGTGCCTTAGATTGAACCTTGAGCCAAATGTATGTACACTCGAACTAGAGAGGACATAGAATTAATGTATGAGCCCACAAGTGCTTGCATGGATGACTTTCACGGGAACATGGGCACAGGTAGTGGATGTACTGCTGAGTTGTGGAGCAGATGTAACTCTGGAGAACGACAGTGGAGACAGTGTGCTGGACGTGGCAGGAGACAGACTCCGCAGACATATCCTCAGTGAGCTGCTGGGAGAAGGGGAGTGGGGGTTATTAATGAGGGATATTATGAACCTCTGTTATTGTGTCCTCCTCAGGGTCTATCAGTCACGAGGATCGCTCCATGAGCAATGCCAAGGCTCTGCTGAGGTCTGCATGGCTGGGGGATTCCGTCAGGCTCAGGAGATGTCTGGTAAGATTTCTCAATACCTACTGTTTGAGCTTCAAGGGCATGACTCCCCAGCTATTCATATTGTTATCCCTGTTGTATTGTAGCTCCTTGTGCAGTGTGCTATGTGAAGCTGAATAACATGACTATTGTCTTTTCTCTCTCTTCTCTCCCTGGCTCATCAGTCCGGGTCCCATTACCTGGATGTCAACAACAGGAACAGTGATGGCCTAACACCTCTGCTACTAGTCACCAGAGATGTCTCCTTCTTCAGTAAAGGTACATATATACTACTAACTCCAGTGCATACACTTATTTCTCCTCCTTTCTGTATAGTATTGTAAGTCAAGCGTGAGTCGTTATTACTTTTCATAAAGAAAAATCAGGTCCAATTCTTTTTCGTTAACTACAGTTCAAACAGCCATGGAGACAGAATACAACCCTGTAGAGGTACTGGAACAACTTTTGAACGATCATGCGTAAGTTCAGCCACCTTTCATCCTGCCACCCTCCCACTCCCCACTCCCTCACTTCTCACCTTTTCTCCCTCTCACTCCCCACTCTCTCACTTCTCACCCTCTCACCCTCTCACTCCCCACTCTCTCACTTCTCACCCTCTCAATCCCCACTCTCTCACTTCTCACCCTCTCATCCTCTCAATCCTCACTCTTCTCCCCATCCTCTCAATCCTCACTCTTTTCTCCCACACTCTCCCTCATCCTCCTACAGTGATGTGAACCAGGCTGACAGTCAAGGTCAGGGTCCACTGCACCTCATTGCTTCCTCTGGTCCAAGTATCCACGCCACCAAGATGGTCTCTCTTCTCCTCCAACATGGATCAGCCACCGGTACATAGCTATGTACAGTGGAACCTCTGATAAGGCACCCTCTGAGAATAGGACAACCTCTCTACAATAGACACTTGTTTACCCCATGCTATTGCTTCAGTGTATTATTTGACCTCCGAGAGACGACCTCTCTACACAGGACACTTGTTTTAACCCCGTGCTAACAGAATCAAAGTGTATTCTCAACACTCACATCGACCATGAAATCTCCCCCCTTTCTCCCCTCACCTCTCAATACACACATTAACTATGAAATCAAACCACCCTTCCCTATTTTTCTGCTCTTTATAGCTCCCCATCTCTCCCCTGACTCCAGATGCTCTGTCCTCGTCCTCCCAGTCTGCTCTCCACGTGGCCTCGTCTCATGGTCACATGACAGTCATTGTGGCACTGGTGGAGGAGGGAGGGGCTGACATCAACCTCCAGACCTCACAGACTGGGGACACCCCTCTCATCATCTCTGTAGGTTCTCTACTGAGCATATATTTGCAGAAAGATGGTTTCCAACAATATTGGGCATCATACTTTAAACAAAGTGCTTCTTTTAAAGATAGATACATGTACATATGAAGAAGAAATAAGACCTAATGTATACTATACTGCAGCATTTCTGGAGTATTGGCTTAGAGCGAGCCAGTCACTGTTGGTTTGGTTTAAATGGTGAACCTCTGAATAAGGGACACCTTGGGGACATTGAAAGTGTCGTTACTCTGAGGAATCCCTGATTCAGAGGTAACATTAATGGACTCAAGTTCCTTCAGCTGCGCAATCTCCATTTAGCCAGCTAGATATATAGGAGACCTTAAATGCTCCAATATTTCACTCAGTGGTATCTTTATGTAGGTCCGTGGAGGTCACAATGAGGCAGCTCGTTACCTCCTGAGTATCAGTGGGGCCGGCTGACGAGTCCTCCCACTATAAATATAAGGGACGAAAACCATCTCTGGGGACTATTTTCCCAGGGGTGGTTCCTGGCTTTTCCCCCTTTATGTAAGTATACAGAAAGATATATACAATTTTGATTGCAGCTTCTACCTCTCCATCATCATCATCCTCCATCAAAAATGACTTACTTGTGACGTTACCATGGTGAACGACAGTGGAGACTCGGCACTGACAGCGCCAACAGCCCCAGAATGAAGAGGATGATAAAAGGGGCTAGAAACAATCACTAGCCTCAGCATTGAAGTTCTGTCCACCGGGGTAACAGCAGAGCTAATGCTGAACCCAGCTGCCTCCACCCAATTCAATCACATGATGACATACAAGGAGTGTGATCGATTGCACATGCTTACGAGCCACTCGCGCAGCCAGCAGCGTCACCATAACCTATTTAGGTGCAATCAATTTACATATGTACGTCGTATATATGGCACAACAACATAAAAACTCAACAAAACTCGCAGTTCAGTTCATCTGCTAGTGTAGTTTCATTCACAGAAGGGGACCGAAGGGCAGAGACGAGTGTAGCCCATGTGAATGGTTTACTGAGAGTCTGTTCCCACTTGTACATAACAGCCATGAATTGGTCGAAACTGTCATCTTCATCTTTCTGAATAGCCCTTATCACTCCATCTTTAAGCTCCAACTGGATGGCCACTTTCTTCCACTTGTCGGGAATGACTGCTGCCACCCGGTTTGCAAGGACACTCCTTGCAGGGGCTGACTCTCCTGATGAGCATCATCCTGAACCTAGACAAAATGTAGCAGGAAACAATACACTTCAGTTCAAGAAGCAGTTGCTTCATTCTAACGTCGTCGCAGCATTTGGTTACCGCAGTGCAGGCATGCCAATCAAGCTTTATTTGTAGGGGGCGCTCAAAGATGCAGCAATGCTCAAGTTAAGACGCTTGCTCCATTGCGTTAACAATGCCACTAGTATACTACAGGCTCACCTGATGTACTGAGCCAAAGGGTCTGGTCAGGGGTGAGGCTGTCAAATACTCCTTTGTTCTCTGAACATATCCACTGCTTTTTATTGCTTGAAAGGCGGGCCACGTGCAGTTCTGTGCTGCATGACTCGTCCTGTTGGGGGCAGAGGAAAGCTGTTGTCGCGTGAGTGTCTTCGTGATGTGTGTTCTTCAGAGCTGCTTCAACTGCTGCTAGGATCTCTGACTTGATGGCCTGGCAGTGCTCGCTCAACTGGTCCCCCTGCATCTTACTGGTATCAACATTGACACACACCACAAAAGAGGAAAACTTATCGATGAAAGTCACCGAACCAGGACGGTCGATTTTAACGAACTCGATGCAGTTGCGCGACAGGGAAGAATGAGATGCACTGGAACCTTTGCTTGGTGGAGGGAGAGGTAGCTTATCCTCCTTCAAGCCTGAGGAGGTGTGGGTTGCAGCGGAAGCTTTGCTTTGTGGTTTTATGCGTCTGTTTTCCACCACCTCCCAGCCAGAGTGGGACTGAAGGTGGCACACACTGCAGCAGTAGACACCGGGAGGAGCCCAGCCAGTGGGGAACTCCACCACCAGAGCTGCTATCTTGGTCCTACTGCACGTTTCAAGGCATTCACTGATCTTTGCTTCAGTTGTCATGTTGAGAATGGCAGGAAAGAAGTATTCAGTTCTAGACAGTCGGGAAATCACGAGGCTCTTTTCAAGCAAGACAAGAAAATCTCTGGCTGTGAATATCCCCTCCACATAGTGGTTCTTGAAGTCCTCAAGGAAATCAAGAGTGAGAATTCCGTTGTCGCGAAACTTCTGCCAGTCCCCTGTGATTGCATGATCAGCTGCTTTTGTTGGATCAGCCATAGCAGCCCTCAGATGGTACTGCTTCTCCACCAGTTTTGACAGGTTGTCCAGAGGCACTTGAGCATTGGTAAAGACGACTTCGGGAAGAATGGTCTTCTTGTAGAGGAAGATGTTCAACTTGTCAAAGAAAGTGAGGGCAGCATCGAGTTCCCCTTCAGGGAAACCGAGTGAGTCTGACACGTGAATGGCTTCTTGCCTACTCAGGACCTTTCTCCCCAGTTTGAGGGCCAGAGCCTCTAGGTAGAGCTGGAGAATGAACCACCAGATTGGAATCTTGTGCTGCTTGGCACCCTTCTCGATGCAGGCTCTGATTTTGGTTGCTTCCTTTTTGTCGTTGCTATCTGGATTCTTGGTGTTGAGTTGGAAGATGATATCTTCCATTCCCTCGTTGCAGTAAACAACGTCGTCTTTGAAATGGGGTGATGCAATGGCTGCCAATTTTTGGTTCTTCTCCTCGGGGGTTTCCTCGCAATCTCCAGCCATGTCTCTGTGAGTGCCGACTGTGATGATCTTTGAGTGTTCCCCTCCTTTGTGGAGCCCTTGAAGCATTGTCCTGAAGGCCTCGGCAGTGGTGAGTGTGGCTCTCTGGCTGGGACCAACCTGCTTCCCTCTCTGATAGAGATCGTTGCGAGGGTGTTCATCAAGTTTCTCACACAGCCGGTGGACGAACAGAGTGGCTGAGTTGCCGCAGGTGAAGATAGGGGTTAGGTCCCAGTAGGCTTGCTGGCCACCACTGTCAGTCAGGTAGATCAGATCCATGTCCAGGAGACGACGTGACTTTTTCCCACCCCTCACGAGTTGAGTGAGCTTTTGAATGACTTTGCTGATTGTGACTGTCCTTTCCTCGGCACTGGCAGTGCTGGGATTGCTTTCTGAGCTACTTTCTTTTGACTCTGTTTTCTCTTCCTTGAGGCCTTCGCCAAGTACTCCTTCCTTATCCACCCCATCTCCTCCATCTTCTCTCTTCTCGCCGTCTTCAACCACACTCTGTTCTCCCCCACACCCTCCCCCACCACTTCAGACAGAACCTCGGCCAGCTTGTCCATTCCCTTTCCTTTGGCCTTCAGCTCCTCATACAGAACTCGGACTGCCTCTGCAATCATTTCCTCAAATTCCATTGTGGGAATTTCACTCCATTCTCCTGATTCTTTGCCGATACGAATGACTCGGATTGATCTCTCAGCACAGCCAGTGCTAGTTCTTTGGTCTGGTGGGTCCTTGCTGAGCAGGAGGTAGAGAAGACAGGTTTTACCAACACCGGCAGGTCCCTACCACCACCACTTTCACCAGCTTGACATAGACATAGCCTTGTTTCATTGCTTCTTTTAGATATTCACTGGACTCATCTGTGATACATATATGAGGTTTCATGTAGGTTAAAAGGAATGTGGCATAAGGGCTAAATAAGATAGAAACTGTTACTCAAAATGGAAAGTAATAAGTAACATTCTTGCACTGGGTCCCTATTGTTTAGTTCTATCTTTAGTAACATTGCTAAATATTATGCACTGACACAGTCCCTTTAAGGAGCTATGATAGGGTCCGCACACGCAATGTGAAATTCTACCCAGACATCGCCATGCACCAGGTACAATAAGTCAATGCTCAAGCTGAATGGTGAATTATGTTGCATGTATTTGCTATTACTCGACTTCCAGTATGCATGAAAACTTCATGCAGGTGTCAGATTCTGATACGCGTTAAAAAGTAACTTACCTTCTCCTAGAGTAATACTCAGATAAAGAGTATCCAGGCTCTGAACACCGTAGTCTCTCAGGGTCCGGTTATCTTCCAATAATGTATTCTTGAAATGGAGTTCTTGTTGGTCTGGTGGTATTCCCTCCTTGTCCTGGATTTTTGTCTTCACATTCTCAATGGTATC